TTTGAAGGCGGTCTTCCACTCGTCACCAGGACGAATTCGTATCTGATGGTATCCACTGCGGAGGTCGAGCTTGGAGAACAATTTAGATCCGGCGAGCTTATCAAGCATCTCCTCAATGCGCGGGACGGGAAACCGAAACTTGGTAGTGATCTTATTGATAGCTCTACTATCAATGCACATTCGCCACTTATTGTCTTTTTTTGGAACAAGCAAAGCGGGCACTGCGCACGGGCTAAGGCTCGGCTGGATCAATTTTTGCTTCAGCAAATTTTCAATCATCTCCTGCAAGATCTCATGTTCTCTCGGACTCATGCGGTAATGCGGTAGATTGGGCAGATTAGCCCCAGGAACCAAATCAATTTGGTGCTGAATCATCCGCATAGGTGGCAGCTCAGACGGTAAATCAGCGGGCATCACATCCCCGAACTCTTGAATTACAGCAGCAATTTCTGGAGCCTGGATCGCTTGTGGTTGACTTGGAGGATCATCAACAGCCACCACAGCATAAATGTATGAAGGTTGTCCTGCTAGGAAGTTGGCTCCAGACACAATATTAAGAACAACCTTGTTCTTATTGGAGGTGTCAACCGATACAGGGACATGTGGAAGGAGCCGTATCTTCCGCCCTTTCCATTCAAAGGAATACGTATTTTGGCGGCAATCATATACAGCTCCGTTGTCATATTGCCATGGGCGGCCCAGAATCATGTGGCAAACATCCATATCAATAACATCGCATAGGACCTCACATGTATAATTTTTGCCAATGGAGAAGCTAACTCGGCACATGTCCGAAATAGAAATCTCTACCCCCTTCTTGACCCAACTGATTTTATACGGTTGGGGGTTCTTCGTCGTCTTGAGTTGCAGGGCCTGTACCAAGGAGCGGGAGACCACCTTTTCAGTGCACCCATTGTCAATCAAGAGTTCGCAAACTCGTCCACCGATGGTGCACCGCGTGCGGAATATCGCGTTCCGCTGAGAATTCGTAGGTTAACGAGGTGCCAATAAGAGGCGTTCCAAAATACACACAACGACGTCTCCTTCATCAGGTACCAGTTCCTCTACATTCTCATCATAATCGGCCGAGATCCTCTCTTCCGTTTCCTCATTGTCTCCCTCAACGAGCTGTAGCTGTGGACGTGTGGGGCACTCGTTTGATTTGTGCCCCAGCTGGAAACAACGGAAGCACTTTAAGGTAGTGGGCTTCATGTAAGGATTATCTCTTGGTGGTGGCCGAGGCTTGAAGGGTGCTTTGCCGTCAGAATTGTTACTGGAACCCGAGGGTAATGCTTGAGCGGTGGGTTTATTAGAACTCAGACTGCGGGAATCGCTGGGCTGGTCAGGGAGGATCCGTCGCGAGGAGTAACTCTTAGATTGTTTTGATAGTTGCAACTCGGCCTTGAGTGCAAAATTGACAGCCTGTGAGAGTGTCCACAGGGAATTTAGTTGCAACTTGTCCTGCACTGCTTCCCGCAAACCTCCCGTGTACCTGGCGACGAGTTGATTCTCAGATTCTCTCAGATTGTTGCGCGCGCTCAATCTGTAAAATTCTTCGGTATAATCACTGACGGTGCGTTGCCCTTGGCTACAATGTTGATACTGATGAAAGAGCATTTGCTCGTAATCGGTTGGCAGGAAATGACCTCTCATAAGCTGCTTCATTCGGTGCCAATTCCGAACGGGTCCCCGTCCTTCTCGCTGCCTGTTTTGCTGCAGTTGTAACCACCAAGCACTGGCTCCCCCTTTCAAACGACAAG